TACTCTAGTTTCGCCTATGCCCTCAAATTCTAAATAGAGGCTCCAATTCACTTAAATTCTAAAGTGGTAACTAATCACTCACATACTTTCAGATTAAAATTTTTAAATAGAAAATGTACACTTAAATAACCGACAAGACAATCTCCATTCCTTGTAGCACAACTAATACATGCATGCTTGAAGCAATTATTGGGAAGTATTAAACAAATTAAAGTATTTATTAAAGGTAGCTTCTTTTTAACATAGGGATCGGAATGAAAGTCGTCGTAAGATCCTTCTCCAAGAAGATATAACTTTAGTTAGTATGCATAATAAAATATTAAAATAAAAATAATAGTTAAAAGGAAAAACTCGTGAAATCATAGGTTGCAAAAAAGAGAAAAGTCTTAGATATAATATACTATTTCCATTGTCTCAATTTATATGACATAGTTTCATTCTCAAGAATCAAACTTCTTAATTTTAACCGCAAATTTGGACAGGATCTTTAAGGTATTTGAATAAAAATTTTATTTTTAAGAATTATGTAAAAATACTATATGTTACAATAATTACAATTAAAAACATTTAAAAGCATATAAAAAAATCCTGACCCATTTTGTATTGGTCAAAACTAGATCAGAGAAATTCGGCACGCGGAGACATAAGATCGTGGTCAGGCAGGCCAAGGTCGGACTGTCATCAATAACTAAGGTCGTGGTCAGGCAGGCCAAGGTCGGACCGTCATCAATAGCCAAGGTCGGACCGTCATCAATAACTAAGGTCGTGGTCAAGCAGGCCAAGGTCGGACCGTCAAGCAGGCTAAGGTCGGACCGTCATCAAACAGCTAGTTTGCTTTGGATTACTCAAAAGCAATATTCTACCGAATATTCCCTCTAAATTGTACCTTTTTTTTAGGATTTTCTATGGATATCCCCCTTATAAATAGGAGGGGGGACTTCCTAAAAGGGGGACTCAGGCCCTCTCCCTCTCCCCCTCTCTAGAAAATATGCAAACACATCTCTTAAAAGAGAAAAAGAGGATCTGTGATCCAAAAACTTCATGAGATCCAAAAAGAACCCTAAGATTTGTGTATTTATCTATCATTCATCTTTATCTCTATCAAGTGAAAGAGGATCCGCCTCGCTCAAGATCGGGTGAATCATTTCCTTTATTTACATTTTATTGCCACTTAATGCTACTTAATGCATCTTTATTTATGCTATTAAATCTGATAATAATCGTTGTCAACATTTATATTTGACTATGTTTTTCTATTTCTCCTACTCATCTCGGATCTAGAGTTAATTATCTTTAACTAGGATTTACCCCTTCGTCTTTATTGATTAATTTGCTTATAAAGTATTTTACAACTTTTAAGCCAAACACCAAACTCGGGAAATGCAAATTAAATTCTTGTTGAATAAATGGTTCCTTGATGCTAGTTATATCAGAAAAAATATTCTGCCAGACGCAAATCTAACCCAAGTGCCCATTAGAATAGACTAATTAAAATAAATTTAAGGGAATATTTTAACTCAGTTCTTAATGCTTAGATTAGAAAGGAAAAACAGTTAGAAGTTAAAATCCATTATTTGGATAATGAAAGGATTTGACTGTGGATTTATTGAATGTCATTGAATTAGCAAATACTGAATCTTGTAACAGTAAATGATGTTTGGTTCTCTTTCCAGAGCTGTGATTTCATAATATTAGACGTAGATGGGCTTAAATAGAGTGACTGGACATTGAGGATTAAGGGTAAATTTTAAAAATAGCCAGATTTACAACTGGTAGTTCAAAAATAGCTCAATTTCAAAAGTAATCGAAATTTAGCCACCTTTTATATAAAGATAAATCTGAGCGAAAACACTGTTCAAAACCCGGAAAATACTCCAGTATATTATGCTGGAGTTTCAGCATAAGTATACTTGAACTCCAGCATATTATACTGGAGTTCCAGAATAAGTATGCCAGAACTCCAGCATAATATGATGGAGTTCTAGCATTAGTACACTAGAACTCCAGCACTGGAGTTCCAGCAAGTATATTGGTCCAGTATAATATGCTGGAGTTTGAAGCACCGGTGCTCCAGTCTCCAGTATATTATACTGGAGCCAGCAAAGTATACCGGTCCAGCATAATATGCTGGAGTTCATATACAAGTACACCGAACTCCAGTATATTATGCTGGTCCGGTCTCTATTGCAGCAAAATAGTGGCTATTTTTCATTGACTTGGTAAACGCTGGCTATTTTTGATAGACCAGTCCGAAAACTAGCTATACCGTGCTATATTTACGAGGATTAATATAGCTAACTCTAATTTTTATACGCAAAGAAGGAAACACACAATAGCTTATGTTTGGCCAAGATGCTTTGAAGGTAGCCAAACTTCTATTCAACTTCCAAAATATCCTGCTCTTTTTTCGTACTTATGGCGTAAATCTTTGAATGTGAATAACATAGAACTAATACTAGATTTCACCAGGAAACACTGTTATGCCTTTGGTATTTTTCAAAATGGAAAACTTTAATTGAAGGATACTGCTGAAATTTGCTGGAAAATGTTTGATTACTGTGTGAAAAGAAGAGTGAACTTGCTTACCGAGAGAGAAAAGTCTGAGTAACTTACTTCTGATTAATTTGTTTGAAGACCAAAGTGGTTGAGCTTATGATTGGTATCCCTGTTTTACAACTTATTTGCTACAAGATTGGTTGTTTCCTCAACTAAAGATTGGTGGTACTATAGGATTCCAATGACGAATTAGCCCACGCCAGAAATCATTCACATTCGGTAGCCGGAAAAATGTAGAATTTTTGTATATAACATACAGAATGTATATATATACAAAAAATATATAAACAATATATATTTTCGACTATTATTTTGAGAACAGTTATACAACGTCATTTTTCCTCACATTATCCAAGACCACAATTGCATCAGTAAGAGGAATTGATAGCAACATTAATCATGTTATTCAGTGATTGGAATCAAGGTTCGCAATTACAACAACAAGGTGAGTTGGGCCAAGCCCAATCCCTGTTATGCCATCCAACTCTGTAAAGCATGTTCTAGGAAAATTTCAATTAAAAAATTAACAATAAATTTGAAGGTAACATAGCAAGTATCTATCTTAGTTACAGTAAAGGCCAATTTATACGGTTCTCTTGTCTATATAAATATATAAAAGCGGGACATAGAAGTCTGACGTGGCACATCCGATAGATGAGTATTCTTATTTATCCTTTTTCCTGTTTTTTTGCATTTTTCCAATCTTTTTCCTGCAATTTTGTTCTTTATTGTGATTTAAAAGCTCAAGAGTTGTGTTCTTCCAATAAAGATGGAACGGTTGTGTTCTTCCAATAAACATGGAACGGTTGCAACAATTACTAAAAATAACGGTAGCAATTTCAAAGGAGTGGTGGCAATTAATACACCACTCTTCCTCATAATAACCAACCTTTCACCCAGTTTATTCTTTATAAAACTTAATATAAAGAACATATATACATCAACAAAAAAAGAACAAGAAGAAGAAGAAGCTTTTAAACTCAGAATTGGATTTGCAAGAAAAATATTACTAGGGAGTTAGAGTTCAAACTTCCAAGAAGGAAAGGACAAATCACGTTTTGCTGGCAACATATCTGTTGCATCAGTAATTGTGCTATGCATTTACTGATAGATTTCATGTACAAAGTTCTCTTCTCATTCTTCTAATGCTCTGCTTTTGATGATTGCACTTTTTAATTACTAAAGGGTTAAGATATTTTCATCATATGGATATGGATACATTCATCGCGATATTTAGGTAAGTTCGATTCTTAGTTTAATCCATTACAAACTTTTTGTTGATGCATTGACCGGCATTTAACTATTTTATAACATTAGTTAAGAGGTATTATGGGGCTTCAGTGCGACAATCTTGCTTGATTAATCATGATTGAACTTTTAGAAAGTGATCAGAAATTGTATCTAATGTCATTTTAAGATCTCTTTCGAGTTAGTACATGGAATAAATTTTTTCCTCAAGCTAACTCTCTGTTACTTCTCACAGAAGTATGGCAACATCAACACTCAAGTCCAACATTGATTATGTGATGAACCAAAAAAAAACTCTCACTTATTTTTTGAAATACCAAGTATTGTTCCTTTTGATTTATTTTACAGGATATAGCGTCAGAGGACATGGAGCAATTACGTGGATATGATTTCAAGTAATATTTTTATTCAGTTAGGTGATCTGTGTAGCTAATGACATGAAAAATGCAACCCCAACCTTAATTATGACAGATTGTGAGAGGAACAAATGATACTCTTGAGGTACTTTTTAAAATATTTACTTACTCTTGACTGGAAAAAAAAAAGAAGAAGAAGAAGAAGAGGAAAGGCAAAAGACGAGAAAAATGTGTAGTTTCACCTATATTTGGATTAATAAGAGAAAGGATCAACTATCTCTAGAAATAATAAAACTCCAATAATGACAAACTAGAAAAAATACCTAGTGATACTTCATCTAAAAGACTTTTTGTTGCATTCATCGTTTAAATTTTTTACATTAAATCTTAACGTATTGGTCAAGATAGAGGTTGTATGAGCAATTCAATTTTGATAAATATTTTCATCTTAAGAATTTTGTATGATCATCATTATTATTTTTTCTCCTTTTTTTTAATTCTTTCCCCTCATTTTTCATTTATTTTATTTTTAATAGCTCAATATGTCATTAATTTCTTTCATCTTTATTATACCATTTATACTCTTTTCCGAAACGTCTCCTTCATTCCTAACGCCTCCTCTTCCTTCTTATTAGTTTGATTCTCCTTCCTCATTTAAACATATGCATTATTTTCATCCTTCACTCATATTTTAATATGGTTGTCTTTTATTTAGTAATTAATTATCTTTATATCCTTCTCCCCAGCACCCAATTCTACCTCTATTCGTTTTATTTTTCATTCACTTACATCTTTTGTACTCATTTCATGCTTGCATATGTCCTAATTTTTTTTTATATATAGGATAGCATAATATTAGTCGCACATATTACAAACACATATCCTAACATATTTGGTTATTTTTTCGGTTCGGGAGACATAATTTTTGCGGATGTTGATTATGTGTAATTTTTCTTTTTCAATTGGTGAGGTTTAACGACAATCTTATTTTTGTGGTAGTATCCTAACATATTTGATCATTTTTTAGGTTCATGGGACATATTTACGCCTAAAATCTTGGCAGATGATGGTCATGTGTAATCTTTCTTTTTCAATTGGTTATGTTTAATGACAATCTCACCTTTGTAAATACTGTGCATGGGGTATTTATATTGAATAGTGTACTTTGCAAATTTATTCATATATTTGTTACAAAGACAAATTAGGAGAACAAAAAATAAGTTTATCTTAATGATGGAGGAAACATAAGTTAGAGAGAGAAAAGAAGAATAGAAGAAAAGAAGGAAAGAGAAACAAAAGGGAAAAAAGGAAAGATAAATTCGGACATCTCTTTCTTCTTTGTACGGGATGTGTCAAAAATTTTGAATTTTGTCTTCTCCTTTTTCATATTTTTAATTTCCTCCCTTTTCCTTATTTTTTTTTTGATTTATCATAAACACAAGAAATTTTGAAAAAAATACCAAAGAGGTGTAGCGGGTGTGTGTATATATTCTATTCTATTCCTATTCCTATTTCTATTTGTATTTCTATTTCTACTTATATAGAAGAGCGAAGAAGCAGCTCTCCGTCGACATCCCTGCTTGCCGACGGAGGGCAATTGGGTATTTGCACTGTCCTATATTAGGTAAAATTCCTGTTGTATTCCGCACTAACTGATTTCTGTTATTCAGGGAAAGACTACTTAGGTAAATTTGTAATCCACTCCCACCGCTTAATTTTGCTCTGGTTTATCATAATACCATAATTTTGCTCTACTTCAGCCTCTTGTTTTCGCAAAATTCGCCCATCTTCTCTTCTTACTCGCTTAACCCTTGTGATTTTTACCGTGCTTTTTGCTTTCATAAATTGAATCCCAATTTCTGGAATATAAACTGATATTTTTGACAGTAAATTTACGTTTTGCTGAGTTTTTTGCAGTTTCACATTTGCTCACTAAGATGAAAGGTTAGTTTTAGTGTTCTATTTCTTCTCCTTCATATGGGTGACTTTGATTATTTTGTTTCAAGGTTCTCTTGGTTTGCTGTTCAAATTTTTGTTGTTTGTGAAACTCAAAGAACAGCTTGAAAAGAAAATGGGGTTTCTGCCAATAATTTTCCATCTTTGTGTGTATTTGAAGTTATTGTCATTTTTAAATTGGGGATTTTAAAATAGATGAGCCTCTCATTTTCTTATATTTGAACCACAATTCTAAGTTTCATCTTGTTCATCCTGTTTCTTTCTTTGCCTCATCTTCAGATTTTGTTTTATCTCAAGTTTATCGATTTTGCTGCTACTTTCGACATCATCGGTCAATTGAAGCTCTCTGCGTAAGAAACCTGGGTCACTGACTTGAACGGTATTTCTTACTCTTACCACTCTGCTTTGTTCATACGTTAACTTCTGGGTTTAAAACCAATTGTTTGCTAGATCTCAAAATTTTGTTTCTTTCACAACTTTGTTTTCAATTAGCCTGCTATGTGTTTGTGAAATTGCCAACAACATTTACTTACCCATCTCAAGGTAAATATTTTTTAGTTTGATTAAGTCCATTGAGTATATTTGGGGACGATAATCCTGAGTTTATGGATTATTTAGAACTCTAAGTGTTAGGTNTTACTTGGGGGTTATTGGGCGTTAATAGTGAATTTGGGGGTGCAGGCGAATTTGTTATGAACAGCTTAATTGAAGGTATTGGTTAGTCATAAATATTTTTATTCGGTCATGGCAAGATAAGTAAAAGAACTTGTGAAAGAATTATATAGAAAAATTCTTTCGCCATATGGTTTGCTGCATATGCCAGACATTGGAACCTTTATATAGATTGTCGGAAAAAAAGGCAATGAGACAATATCCACATCAAAGAGAATTTGACCGGAACCATTCCAAATTTTAAATAAGAAACCCTTCCTTATATTTTCAAGGTTACATATTTAAATTTGTTCAAGATTTGCAGGCAGACCGATAATTTTCTCATAACATAATGTTAATAAAGATTTAAACTCCATAACTCAAGTATTGATATGTAGAATTATTCAATCTCAATTATTCTATGAATCCGCGATTTGCTTTAGCTAAAAGATGGAAGTTTCTCTGTAACACTACAACTGGTTACCCAGTTAAATATTTTTGATCAATTTGAACTCAAAACGAATGTGATATTCTTTTGTAGCACGTTCACCGAGAAGAAACCGAAAGACTTGAAATTGATGTTTGATCTGCTTTAGCTAAAAGATGGCACTTTCTCTGTAACACTACAACTGGTTACCCAGTTAAATATTTTTGATCAATTTGAACTCAAAACGAATGTGATATTCTTTTGTAGCACGTTCACCGAAAAGAAACCGAAAGACTTGAAATTGATGTTTGATTCGCCAGCTGCACAAATTCTCCTTCTATTTTCAGGTATTTTCTGTCAAATTCTCAGCTTTTTCCCAATGAAATCATGAATTAGATATTTATAATTATAGGGTTATATTGGAGTTGAAGGGTCATTTGGTGATTGAATATTCGATTTGGTCACCTAGAACGTAAGGATCAAAAACTTACATTTGAAGACCTTGTGTCTACTCCATTTTCTATACTGCTTCGTTTATCAGGGCTGTTCTCTGTCAACTTATTTGGCAATTAATTGGGTCTTACTTTTCAAAAGGAAGCTATAACAAATGATTAGTTATGCTTTATCTGCGGAAATATATGTGCTTTTACCTCTTCATCTTATATCTTGTGGAATGGTGATAAAAGAACATAGGAAACTAAGTTTTGTAGGAGTGTTACTCGAGCTTTTTTGAGATTTGGCATATTTATCTGGTATTTAACTTCTTTTGCTATTTTGGTATTGGACTAATTTTTTAATTCAGTTTTGTCTTGCTAAAAGACCAACTTGGTAGTTAAAAACACGTGGACTAAAAAGAGAACAACTTGGTAGTTAAAAATACGTAGGCCGAAAAGAGAAAAAAAAGAGTAACACAACAAGTATATTAAAAGTTCAACTCATGTGTATCTGATATTATGAGAATGTCCAAGAAAGATGTTGTGATGAGTGAGGTAACACCAAAATAAAATTTTGGACAGAACCCCATAATATACTTTATTGAATCAGCTGAAAAATATATCTCTTCAACCTGGATAATCAGATAATATATTTGGCTAAGTTATGAACTTACAAGATAGTCTATCCCATTTAAAAAAAGAATGAAATAAAAACAAAAAAAAAATAATCAGAACAACTTGGTTCATGCTATGTTGTCTGCTTTGAATCTCTACTTTACAGATAACTTTGTACTTTTTTATTTTTTTATTTGGTAATGTGCTTTTCGATGAAGTTTCACTCTTTAGAGATGATCGTTATCTATTGAATCTTACTCGGTTTCTCATTATTATATTTTTGTATGTATAACTTCAATAGCGAATGATTCTTCTGAGTACTGAGGTTATTTTAATTTGAAGGATCTATGTTACGAGATCATGGTTATCTACTGAGAATATGTTACATCTCTGCCTTTTTCGAATATTGTTTCTGATAAATACAAAATCAACCCTAGTAATGTAGAATTAACTATCAAGTTTGTCTCACTTGAACTTTCAAATCTATTATAAATTTGTAATTGCAATTTACGATTCAGTCTGGATAAGAAGAAAATAGAAGATTAAAGTGAAAAATTATGACTAAGATACTTCAATATTGTTTTCTCCTTCTACTCCAAGAGAGAAGATGAGGCTATTGTTAGAAAATATAATACATTTGACTAAGAAATAGAATGTCTTTCTCGTGGTAGTAAAATAAGCAAAATTGTACATCAGCAGCAAGTTAATGAGAATATGAGATGATCAGAACAATAGATTAGTTTTTGACCTGTAAATCTTTGTGTTTGCATATCTTTCCGCATGAAGTCGTTGTTAGAGATGTGATGATGAAAATGTATAAATTGTTTAGCATACAGATACATACGGATAAAAAATCCCACAACACCAACTTGTTGTTGATAAATTTGTTTGACTTGTCATTTTATGTCGTTATCTATCTGTTGTATACTCTTTTTGTCGTATCATATTGAAATGTGAGAAAAAAAGGGGAAGCATTACAATGATTAGATAGTATTTGGTTTGAGTCTTAAGTTTCAGATATATTTGCCTTCTTATTAAAGCTTAACTGAAGAGAATTATCTGCGGCTGGCTCTAGATTCTCCTAACCCAATTTTGGAAATGTTTCTTGTGGCGGAAAGTGAGAACAGTAGCCGATACGGAGAGAAACTGTCCTTATTTGTATTTATGTCTGTTGTCCCAAAGTTATTTCCAAGAAATATCTATGTTAGGAATTCAATCTATAAATATGTCTTGTGTCTTACTTAGATATTTAACTTAGAGGTTAGATAAGGTACTACTTAATCAAAATGGAATCTCACTTTTTACTGGAGTAAATTTTAGTGATAGAAGTGTAACGCTGGTTCCTAACTTTTTAGTTCTGAACACACTTTTTTGACTCATTATCTGCTTATCCCCAAAAGCATATGTTGCACTTATGATACTGCTATTAGTTGTTGTATTGCAAAGCTTCGCCATATTGATGTGAATGACAATATCTACTTTGCAGAACAAGAGTTTCTTTTGGCAACCGATTTACCCGAATACTTTTGGTTGGAATAAAGGAGAGTGGACATCAACTGGGATTAATAAGTTGAAAAGATTTGGTACATTATACCTTTTCTAGATGCTCTCCAGATGAGTGCAAATACGTGCAGTTTTTGAATTTTCATGGTTAAGCTGTTGGCACTGTAAAGTGAATTACGGAATGCAAATGTGAATTAACTATGTTGGAGTTTTTTTTCTCTATTGTACAAAGGTCGACACCAATATTATTGTTCAGCCATAGGGATATCCATATCCATCGTAGCATTAGCACAATTTTACTGCTTGAGCGGGTAAAAACACGCTATAACACTAAGCCCGGGCCAATCCCATCTAGTATATGTATGTGTGTGGGGTCACGTAATTTGGCATATCTATCGCTAAGAAACACATTTATAATTATCATTCCTTTTATCCCTTCAATTTTTCTCTTTTTTGGAAATAATTAATCAAATAACATTTGTATGTACTATAATCTTTTAAATTAAATAAATAAAATTATAAAGGACTTTTTATATTTTATTAATTTATTTTTGAGACCGCGCGAAGCGTGGCAAATTTACTAGTTTTAATTATAATATTGTTTGAAAAGGGAAGTGATATGCATAAGTACCAGTAATCTTAGTTTGATGATGGAGATATGAGTTGATTTTAAACCTTTCTATTACTTCTTTGGTGTACTATGCAGCCTATGGGATTTTTAAACTATTGTTCTATTTCTTTTAGAAGGAATCTTTTGTTATTTCTTCTTACCACGGTAGCAGAATTGTTGTTCGATCATTAATCACTTTTCTGAAACCAATTCTATTTCAAATCAGATTTAACAAAGTTCTTACACCTTTCAATTCTTAAACCTCCAAAATAATCGCATATCATTTCCTCCTTAAATATGTATCCCATAAAATAATTACCTATCCCTTGAACACTTACCCATAATCAACAAAAACGAAGCTCAACAGATCTAACCCCTTGATTGTCAACAACTTTCCCATAATTAAAAAAACCAAGCTTAACAGTAGCTGAAGTCTTAGCCATTCCATTGCTGCTAAAATGCATGTGCAAACAACAACTTTTTTTGGTAGCAAATAGCAATGCAAAAGAACTGCTAATTCTTGGTCATCATCATAGCATTGGAGTGCTTTAAAGGAGTCAAGATCAAGAAGGCTATACTTGTAATAATTGACTAAGCTCCTTAGAATTTGCTTAGGGGTATTTGGGTCATTTGTAGCCAAATGCCCACTCTAGTATAAATAGCCTTTAAGGCTTTTATTTAGGTAGACTTGATGAATGATAAAACTTGAAGACATGCAAGTCTCACACTCTTTCCTTATCTTTTAATTAATGCATTTATGTTTATGCCTTTAATTCCTTTATTGCTTTGTTTATGCTTTCATTAGTGCTAAATTAGTCTTAGTTGGTGAGCAATTAGTAGTGAATGCTTAATTGCTTAATTACTTTATCCAGGTTTTCAAGAGTTGCCAATCTCTTGAGGGTTTTCATCCGTATTTGAATTGGGAATTGTATCTCATTGTTCTTCCTTTGTCTGTTTCTGTGTTTTAAAAGGCAGAATTAGGACTCGCCCCGGGGTGGAGCACTCGTGAAATGCCCCTGGACTTATGTGTGGGGCTTAGTTCCGTGAGACTTACGCCTCGGCCACTGGGGCTTACGCCCGGACACGCCCAACGCCCGGGGTATTGGGCTCGCCTAATAGAACTTTATGCAATTATATGTAATTAACCTTGTAAATCCTCAAATTTTCTTAACAAATCTTGACTATTCAAAATTACTTTTTTCTTAATCATATATCATTAAGTTGAGAGTATTTTATATCATAATTAAATAAAAATTATTGCACGTTATCCACTAAGACTGCTATGATAGTAAATTTTAAATAAATCTTTCATTTCAAAAGTATTTATTTATTAACTTCTGTTATGTCTTTACTATATAATAGTCCATAATTTTTTTATAATTATTTTTTCAAATATTATTTTGTTTACGTTTACGAGATACAATACTTATTAATTTAATATCTCAGTATTAGCTAGTAACTATTTATAAATAATTAGTTATCATGATATTGTATGGTGAATTATGTGTCAGTTTATTTACTTGTTAAAACTTAAAATAAATGATGCTAGAGAATCATATTTAAATTGTGAATTATATTTTTATATTAATTCTCTTTCAAATAGAAAGCACATTAAATAAAAGGAGTATTTTAAGTAAAATATCAAATTAAAATATTGAAATTCTTTCAAGATTTATTACTCCTTAAAAGATACATATAAGAAAAATCCTTTAGAAAATATCTGGCTCAGTTTAAAAACCTCTTTTGAAAATATCCTGTTCCAACAGTCAAGCAAATGAATGCGTAATCAGATAGTGCAAGTCCGCACATAAGTCAGCCCCTCGGGCACAGCACTCCATCAACAAATAACACCAGGGTATCTGGTAAACAGTGCGAGAAGTAGCATGGATGCCAATGATGTGAGAGTGCTGAATGTCATGACATGTAGTACAACCAGGAACCAATGCATGAATGCAATGCAATGCACATGACCGTTGCGGCGTGCAGCCCGATCCATTTGGGTACCCGCGCTCACTGTGGGGGTTCAGACTCCGGAGGGGCTCCTACAGCCCAAGCGCAATATCAATATAACACCGCTGCGGCGTGCAGCCCGAGCCATCCATATATCGAGAAATCAGTATAACACTGCTGCGGCGCACAGCCCGATCCATGCTCAGTCCAGAAATGCACATAAGCCCCTTGGGCAATAATAAAATAGCAGCTCTCAGCTCAAAACGTCAGTAAAATATCATTTAAGTTTTCAAATCATGAAAAATGGCTGAATTTGCAAAACAGTATTAAAACCCTGGACCGAGGTCAAATAACATGCAAAGTAATGCAAAATCAGTGATATCAATCCCTGAAGGATTCAAATAATCGGCACGAAGCCCAAAACATGGCAATCAGCCCAAATCATGATGATAACAAGTAGTTTCAGTCAAATACGCAGTAATTTCATCAATCGGGACGGACCAAGTCACAATCCCCAACGGTGCTCTACCCCACGCTCGCTATCCGGCATGCAAGTCACCTCAATACAGCACTATGATGTGCAAACCCGGGGTTTCAAACCCTCAGGATGTCATTTACAAGTATTACTCACCTCGAACCGGTAAAATCCCTAGCTCGCGACGCCTTTGCCCCTCGAATCGGCCTCCACGCGCGTCGCATCTAACCAAAATCAGAGCGAATACATCACAATATGATAAGGGAACAATACCCAATCGAAAACAATCGAAAATTAGCAAGAATCTCGAAACTAGCAAAACCCAAGCCCCGGGCCCGCTTCTCGAAAAATTACGAGATTTACATCACCGGATTCCTCGTCTCGCCACGAGTCCATACATATAAAATTCACCAAAATCGGATTCCATTTGACCACTCAAATCCCTAGTTTAACTTTCTTAAGTTTCAAGCCCTAACCTCCATTTTTACCCTTTAATTCCTTGGGTTTTCAGTGTTAATCCATGTTTATACACAAAAATATCATAATCTAAGTCCAAGAATCCATACCTGATGATAGCCCTCGAAACCCTCTTCAAAAATCGCCCAAAATCTCCTTAGTCCGAAGTCCAAAATGTTTCTTCTCTTTCCAAATCGTGAAAACACTGTTCACTTAAACCCAGCCAGGTCTCCGCTTCTGCGGTTGGGATACCGCACCTGCAGTTCCCGCTTCTGCGTCAAAATAACCGCGGGTATTGCTTCGAATGTCGCCTATGAAGGGCGTGATGAGATTTGGGAAGAAGGGCAAGCTTAGCCCTAGGTTCATTGGCCCGTTTGAGATTCTTGATCGAGTGGGAGAGGTGGCTTATAGACTTGCGTTGCCACCCAACTTATCGACCGTGCATCCAGTTTTCCATGTATCCATGCTTCGGAAGTATCACGGCGATCCTACCCACGTGTTAGATTTCAGTACTGTCCAGTTGGACAAGGACTTATCCTATGAGGAGGAGCCGGTAGCTATTCTAGACCGGCAGATACGTCAGTTGAGATCCAAGAGTTTTCCTTCTGTCCGTGTTCAGTGGAGAGGTCAGCCTCCTGAGGCATCGACCTGGGAGTCCGAGTCTGATATGCGGAGCCGTTATCCCCATCTTTTCCCCGACTCAGGTACTCCTTTCTTTTGTCCGTTCGAGGACGAACGGTTGTTTTAGAGGTGGAGAATGTGACGACCCAAAGGGTCATCACCTGTATTCCTACTGCCTCTGTACTTCTGAGGCGTGAAAACCTCATTTGGGGTTGCCTCGAGTTGTGTGCGCAGTCCGGGCGCGTAGCCGGAAAAGTTTAAATATGAAATTTGTGAGAAAAATTGTTAAATCTTGGTATTTAATTGATTAAGTTTGACTTCGGTCAACGTTTTGGGCAAACGGACCCGGACCCGTGATTTGACGGTCCCGGAGGGTCCGTAGAAAAATATGGGACTTGGGCGTATGCCCGGAATCAAATTCCGAGGTCCCAAGCCCGAGAAATGAATTTTTGTGTGAAATTGTTTTCTGGAAATAATTAAGGAAATTGGAAGTGAAATTTGATTAAAAGACTGTGGTATCGGGCTCGTATTTTGGTTCCGACGCCCGATACAAGTCTTATATACGGCTTAAGTACTTTCTGTAAAGTTTGGTTGAATTTGCACGTCGTTTGACGTGTTTTGGACTAAAAACTCTAAACTTGATGTTTTATGAAAATTGGAAGGAAATCCTGGGTCTTGAGGCCTAATTTGATGATTATGATGTTGTTTGGGCGATTTGATCGCACGGATAAGTCCGTAGGATATTTTTGAGTTTATATGTATGTTCGGTTTGGAGCCCCGAGGGCTCGGGAGAGTTTTGAGTAGGTCCCGGGAGATCTTAGGCTAGAAATATCAGATGGTTGCAGGTTCAGGTGTTGCAGGCCCCCAGCGCGGCCGCGGTCATTTTTGCGCGGTGCGCGTGGCTAGGTTCAGAGGGCCAGTGAATTCTAGGTCAACCAGCGCGGCCGCGCACCAAATCAGTGCGATCTGCGCTGGGTAGGTTCAGATAGTCATTTTTCTTCCCTTCCTCGGCGCGGCCGGCGGTGCATTTTTGTGCGGTCCGCGCCAGTCTCCAGCTCAGTATATAAAGTCGGGATTTTCAGTCATTTCTTCACTTTTTCAAAACCCA